CCCGTAGATCCTCCCCTGTACTAATCCAAMTTTATACTTTTGTTTCTTTGTTTAGACATTTTTCTTTCACATATTACTAAAGTTTTTGAAATGTTATTGTTTTCTGTTCAAGGTCAGGACTGGCATCCTCTATCTTCAGGTACAGACAGGCCTTTCACTGAAATGATCTTAAATATTATCTGAGCACTTTGGTAAAACAATTTGTTTGCAGGTGTTATGCCCTTTCTGTTTGACGATTATGTAGATGATCTTCTCCTGTCTAGATCCATACAACCTACGATGACAACGACTGGTAAAGTATTCAAAAAAATCATACTTTAAATATCCATTACAGTACCAAAGTTTTACACAGCTTTATGAATACGATGATATCTTTAAATGGAACAAAACATAACAGTAAAACTGAAAGATTTTTTCCCCAGTTTTGTTGTGTTTTTTCCTAAAATGTTTTCTTTAGCTCTTTTTATTTGGTGAAATTTTGTCGTGGTTTTTATTTTGCTGTTCTGTTTTGTTTTGAAGGACATGGCAATTTAAAACAAGCTGTCATTAAATTTGACTACATTTGACTAAATTTGATGTCTATTTAACTGTTGCTGGAAGTAAAAGCTGTTAGAATCATGACATTTGCGATAACACAATGTCTCCCTTTCGTTGCAGCTCRTCTTTCCCACAGACTTCTGTTAAAAGCTGAGAATCAATCCAAACCATTATGCTTCGATGTCACAGGCGTTGCCATTCTTAAACTTTTTCACCATCCCAGCAGGGGTCAGTATTATTTCTTTTTGCATCACCAAAGGCGAGGTCTCTTATATTGCTCAGTCAACATTATTGTAGCAGTTAATCTCTTGCTGTTTTTCATTTCTCAGGGTTGTCTATGAATGGAGAGCTGGATTCAGTGACAGATGGGGGCTTTGAAAAGATTGTCATCCATGTCGGAAGCGACCAACATGTTGAGGTTGACACAGAGGGAGTCACTGTTCGAGAGGGGCAGTCTACGACACGCCACACAGGACAGAATCCCATCACAGCTGGAAGGTGGGCTTGAACTGTCATCCGTCCATTTTTTTTACCCTCTGCTTCTTTGCAGGTTGTGGGGAGCTGTGTATCTCTAACAGTCACTGAGCGACAGGTGGTGGACTCCCTGGAGAGGTCACTAGTTCATTATGGCCACACAGAGGCAAACAAGACAAACATTCACACTCTGACTCACATAACAACTGTTTTAGAGTTACCAATAACCTAACATGCATGTTTTTGGTATGTGGGAGGACCTCAAAATATCTTGAGAAAACCACCTTTTTTGAGCATTTCCCATGTTTAAACTTTCCATTAATGGGATTTTTCTGGCTTTGGTTTCCTCCAACAGTCCAAAAATGTGCAAGCTAAGTTAGTTAATTCCTTTAAAAATGGATTCTAGGCACCAGTGTGAGTGAGTATTTATCTTCGTGTGGCTTTAAGATAAAGGGTTGACTTGTTCATGTACACTGGAGAGATAGCTTCCTCAACCCTGCACAGAATCAAACAAGAACAAAAAATTGGTACGTGGATGAAATTAAACTGCATTTATTTATCCCCCAAATCTATAAAACCATTGGACAAAAGATAAAAAAATAAATAAAAATGTAAATAAATATATTGTTTGTAGCATTCAACATTTTATATTATGTACTGACAGAAATTCATGCTGCAGTTAAGAGTCTCAGACAGATAAACAGGTTTGTTTAAAATTAGGGACAGTATGCAGTCCTTTACCAACTTATATAAAAACAGACGTTTAGTTATAATTTCACAGAATTATTTTTATGTTTTAAGAAACAATAGGTGATTTTGCACTGAATATTTCCATTTTTGGATCTTAAGGGACAGTTCATATGAAAAATATACTATAGAAATTTGTTCTTTTGAAATTTGAAAGTTTTGTATTTGTGGTTGATGAATCATTTTCTTCAAACCAATCAGAGTCTACAAACAAAAATAATTGTCAAGAATTTGTCTGAAAAATGAAGAACCTGTTCTGCTGCTTCTGCCTCAGTGGCTTTACTGGTTGATTACTTAACTTCTGACAGGGAAATTTGCTGATAAAAAAAGAAAAGAAAACGAGTCACAATGTTTTGGATTAACAAGTTTGAAATGTTCTTGGCCATACTAAAACAAATATGCATYAACAATGCTTCTTTCATCCTTTTCTTTTCAAGATTTTGCCTCCAATAGCTACTTTTCCTTGTGTTGCATCAATAATTTAGAAGTTTATTTGAAGGACAATTTCATATCAGACTCCCTCCATTTTGATTTCAAGAATTTATTTTATTAAGGATTTATTTATTGATACAGTATAATCCAACAAGCAGGAGGAGAATAATGTCAAAAGATAAAGATAGTTGAGTTGAGTCATCTGCACCTCTACAACCTGAGATTAACAAAGATCATGAAAATCAACTGTGATTGTATAAAAGTTCCTGAAGACGCTAATGCAGAAATTAATACCAGATTGTGTAAATGTTTCCAGTGTGACGGTGATCATAAGGGATGAAGAGATAGACGTTGCTGCTGAAAACATGCGGGTGGTCATCTTAGTTCARAAAAAACAAGGAAAAAAATTCCTTTGGCCAGTTTTACGACAGAAGCCATCTGCCGACAACACTGAAGGGATTTTAGGTGAGTCGAAAAATGGGTTTATGTTTACGGCTCTGCATAACTTGAAAGTGTTAACAGGGTCAGTGAAAAGCCTCAGGACACCCTTTTATGCCAGAAAGAAAAGGGAAAATAACATATCTGAATACGGCTGTAAGCAATGGGTGAGGTGAGGTTTTGCCTTGTAGGTTAATGACAAGGCCGCCATCTCAAAAACTGTCATATTGGACCAAAGTAAAAMGTTGGCCTATGGCTTTTGACTCATGCTGTACATTTACTTATTGGGATTTCGAAAAAGAAATCTGATCTGATCTTACTAAGTCAGGGTTGCAGTTTAAATGTCTTTCATTCTCTAAAACTGGTTTTGTTGTTCTGAAAACGTTTTTAATTAGTAACTGTTTAAATCTGTCACTCATCATTTTCAATAGATATTTTCAGACTCTGAAAAAAAAAGAAAAAAACGTTCCACTTCATGAGGTTGTTTAATGCTTAGTAATAGGTTTCCATAATTATCAAGTYATGTTTTTAAACTTGTTACTACAGTATCAACTTTTTGCTGATCTTTTATGTATGCTAATATATTGTTTGTTGTGTAGCTTTAAAGACCGAATATGAGGAGGACCTGCAACCTGGCAAAACAAAGCTGAAGATCAGAAACAAGAAGCTTACACCGAGGAGGTACATTTTTTACACGTGAATGGTTATTTGAATTTCTTTAAGAGAAAACAATATGCTTGACCTCTTCAACACTTTTTGTAGGTCGTTTGCTGATGACTACAGTATTTCCCCTCCTAAGAGATCATCCTGCTGGCTCCTGTTGCCTGATCATGCACTGCAGAGACAACTGCAAGACTTCCTCGCTGAACAAATTTAAAGAGAGGACCATGTTGAAATGTTAAGGAAAAAGTGACTGAAAATAAAAGAAAAAGGAAAATCTACAATGTGATTTCAACACAAAGAATACAGTTTTATGTCTAACATTATAAAAGTAATTATGTAATCATGCACTCTGATTAACCTGCAACCTTTTAAATAAATATAATGTTAAAAAAATAAACTATCAATTTTTTTCYTATTAAAAATGTGTCTTGTTGCAACAAATTAACCAGTAAAATAAATTAAAAAGCTCAAACTTTGAGCTGCTGCTGGCTTTGARTTCCCAACCGAACAGTCACTTTTTATTTTCAAAGAGATCTGTCAATCACATTTGTTATGTTTCATCACACTGAACTCTGCCTCAGACAAACAGAATGAAGCAGTTTAAGGACCTTTGTGTTATTTACCTCTAAGGTTGTTTCAGGCTGTTGAGTTTTGCCTCTACTGTGTACTCGAATGGCTCACTTGATTGTGTAATTACAGAGAATCAATGCAGTAAAGTCAGACTGTTGTAGCATTGACATTAAGGTTACATAGCAAAAATAACAAAATATCTGCAAGTTCTAACATAAAGAAAGAATGATATACAGGGGCGGAGCCAGAACGGTGGCCAGGGTGGCAAGTACCACCGCTGGCACCTGAATGGCTACACCAGGTGCCACCCGTAATAAACTGACAAGTGTGTGGGGATCTTATATACTTTTAGATTTTAGCTTGTTCTCTAAGATTACTGTGCTATATACATTTTAGTTGTSTAGATTTAAAAATGGCTGAATTATAGCCCTTTGTAAATTTAGCATTAGGATTAGCATCTGCAATCAGCATGTTTTCATTCATACATCACAAAAGTTTTTGAATGGCTGAATGATAACCTTTTAAAGCTTGCTGAGGTGGCAATCTGAACATTTTGATTAGCATCTAGAATTTAAAGATAGTTTTCAGCTACTTTTACACTAGTCTTCAGCTTTGTATATCTAAAAATGGCTGAATAATAAGTTGTGACTAAATTCTGCATGTTTTTCAATCATTCTTATACTATCACTCAAAATCTCAGCTCAGTGTTTTTTTTTAAAACAGCTGAATTAAAACCATTTGGAATTAGCTGATCTTTCTTTGAGACAGAWATCCTAAGCAAGAGCAGAATGTGTCGAGTAGGGGTCCCTGCAGAACGTGTTGCCCTGTGGGTGGAGACGGCCCAAATCGTCATTGGCCGAGGTCTTAATGTGGGCGGGACAGGGAGGATGATTCAACCACCCAACCACTAGATGTCGCTGAAAACAACAAATCCTACACACTGTGCCTTTAAGAAATCGTTTGATTTAATTTTTGGAAGTAACCCTCCGAAAAAGAAGAAAAAATATTTATATATCTGTGCAAGCCATTTTATGATTTCTAGTTTTCTGAACAAAAGGGAATTTAACAGTGGACTAATAACATGATTCTCACTAAAAGATGATGCAATTCAAACACTCAGGAGTACACAAACACTGTTGTTGTCTGCCCAGGTAAGCTGAAAAACAGCTCACATTGGTTTGTTTGGTCTATCTGTGATCAATGGTTACCATTCGTTACTTACGTTATTATGATCTGTGTTCTTTAGATGACTTACATCGCATTTTAGTAAAAAATAAATTATTTTAACACTGACGTGTGTGTGTGTGTGTGTGTGTGTGTGTGTGTGTGTGAGGATGACTGGGAGATATCTTACCAAGCTGAAACGTCGTCTCTCTACTCGCTTCAATTCTTCAGAAAATTTACTTTTCGGGTCTAACAGTAAGGTTCCTGGGGTATCCCTGGTTGCCATTTTTCCAAAACCATTATTGTTTAATGTTGCTTATTTTTTTATTATGATTACAACTAAATAGGGTTGGAACGCTACATGTTGTAAATGGCATGAAGCTGTTGTGGGCGTGACGGAAACTGTAGAAGGTTCTTAAAGAGACAGAGGCCAATTTCAAGGTGTTTAGAAATGGCTGTGATGTGTTGTCAAATTGATTTTTGATCAAATATGAACAGCATTTTCATAACAACTGAAGGTGACAGTTACTTTATTATGGTATAGAATTGAYCTATATGCTTGAGAAACACACAACACTGGTCCTTTAATTTGAAAATATTCAGTCTCGTTTCAGACACTTTACTTACATGTGACTTATTAGTGATCTATACCGAAAAAGGCTCAACATAATAAAAGAAAACTTTTCTAAGTCGGCTTAGAAACATGTTGGAACTTTCAGTCTAATTTTAATACACCATGTTTGTTTTATTTTGTGTAAACAGTAAAGATTACATAAACTGCTAACTTACGGTAAATCACTGCTTTGTGGGGAATTTGTTTGGTCGTAGGCAAAAATGGTGAGGCTGGGGGTGGAGACTGCGTAAGTTAAAGTTTGCTTTAAAGACGTGGGTGTGCAAATAACTGAGTTTAAAAACAATTTCAGTTGATTCTGCTGACAGGAAWCATGGGGAGAGCTGCTGTGCTGCAGCTCACCTTAGTTGGGCTGCTGCTGGCGTTGACTGCTTCACAACCAAACAAGGTACAGTCTCACATTRGAAAGGACAGAAAACTAAACTGCTATATATAAATCACAATTAAAACAAATACCTAGTGATTGACTTTATTTTCAGTTTGTCTTTGTCAGTTTTACTCTGAACTTTGCCTCAGATCAACAGAATGAAGCAGGTTCACTGACCTTTGGTTTTTGTACCCCAAGCCTTTCCTTTGTTTGTTTTTTTTTGTTTGTATTACTCACTTTGTTGTACAATTGCACAGAGTAAATGGTAAGTTAGATCAATCAGAAAAATAAAATTTTTCTCACAAAGCTTATTTCTGTGAAGTTTACATTCATCCTGCTGTGCTCTTAGAACAAATCCTCCATATGGCTTATGATTAGAAAGAAAAGTGTGTAGAAGAAATCAGGACAGCTGCAGATTAAAATCTTACAAAAGTAAGGCCTTTAGTAAGCCTTTTAGTATGCTAAGTACGCTTTTGTGCAGGGTTAAAACCTCTTACACAAACRGTTAGAAAGTAGTTGCACTGTATCAAATTGGAGAAAATTAGAGTTAAAATATGATGCCATCATACTACCCAAACATTTTTTCCCCTGCTTCTTACCACATCTCTAAGACTGCACCATGCCCAGGCCTCTATTCTGGCATGAGATTATATCCCAGTAAGGGTCCAGCAATTTATGAGCACTTAAGATTTCATGTTTCGTCTTTTAATTTTCAGGAAACGCATGCTTATGACCAATCATTAAATAAAAAACAAAAAACAAAATGAGGCATTTTTGAAGCCGCATCTTTTTCACATTTCACCCACAAAGTGTGATTTTCTGATGTTTGATGAGTAAGAAACATTCAATTTTGTTTTATTTTCTAATTTACTTTCTGTGTTTGGTCAGGACAACTGGGACATTTACAGCTTTCACATCAACTCCACTGTGACCGGCCGTTATGCCACCACCGTCATCACAAGCCGTGTGGCCAATCGTAGGAACGAGTCCAAAGAAATCGAATTTCATGTTCAGATTCCCAAAAATGCCTTCATCAGTAAATTCAGAATGTATGTGAAGGGGAAAATAAGAGTAAAAACCAAATAAATTGGAATTAATACTTATACAGCAGTTAAAAAAAACTTAAAGCCTGCTCAGGTTTGAAACAGAATCTTTGTGTTTATTGTCTGCAGGTTTATAGATGGTCAGGTTTATGATGGAGTTGTGAAAACGAAGGAGCAGGCTCAGCAGCAGTACACTGAGGCTGTGGCTCGTGGTGAAAGTGCAGGAATAGTGAGGTAATGAAGTTGATAGAACAATTTTTTTGCAAAACTTTATGCAGGTGCGTTTTTTAATTTGTAGTTTGCACCACTTTTTCACAATGTCAACTTTCCGATTTTTCTCTAAAATTATCAAGATGAGTCTTTCTTAGATACCACCATGACGTGCATCCATTTTGCATTTTTTTTTCATAGTAATAACTGTTTCTCCTGCAGCTCTGTAGGGAGGACCATGGAGG